CAGCCCTAGATGTTTTTGGCCATTTGGAGAGTGAATCAGTGGATGGAATCTCTCTCTCTCTCTCTTTCTCTCTCTCTCCTCTCTCTCTCTCTTCCTTCCTGACTCTCAAATAAGTAAAAACAAAATCTTTAGAAAATAAAAAAGAAGTAGCTCTTTGTCTTACCCCCAAGTTCACGGAAGTAGGAGAATAGATGAAAACACTAACAAGTTCCAGCCACTGGTCAGGCGTTTCTCATTCATGGTCTCATTTAATGCTCAACCTTCAGGTGTACGTACTGTCATTGTTCTGACCATACATGTGGAGAAACCAAAGCATAAGAGGCTCAGATAACTTCCCCAGGGTGACACAGCTGGAAGTGGAGGAGCCCTTTTTGCAACTCAGGTGCTTTGGCCATTGGGCCCACGCTCTGAAATCTTGTGCCAGTCCTTAGGACTGAGCCCCAGGACTGGATCTCCAGAGCATTACAGTGTGTAGAAAGGGGAGAAGGGGATCATACCTGGAGGCTTCAGGGTCAGCAGGATGAAGAAGAAGGAGGCAACCGCACCAGACAGACTGTACTGCGAGAAGTCCAACATCCTGCCTGGAGCAAGCATGAGAGAGCGTGAGACCCAGCATCCGTGCCTTCCAACGGCTGTGCAGTCTGAACAAGGAATGAGCATCCACCCCTCTACGGTCCAACAGGGAAGCAGGCTTGGCTCCCGGCTGCCTGGTTAGGGAGCACATTTCTCCCTTACCTACAGTATTACACTCTCAGCTATGTTTCAGGCCTGAGGATGTTTTCTGATTGAAATGAAGAGCTAAGTGCCAATCTCATTAAAAACAAAACAAACAACAACAAAACCCTCCTGAGGTTCTGTCTGTGATGAGCACAGAGAAATTGCAGAACAGGTTGCAAACATCTTTTTCTCATCCTCCTTCCAGCTCTTCCTGCAAAGTCCTTCTTCACTAAGGTTTCCTGGGTGCAGAAAGAGCAGGGAGGCTGTGTCCCGGGGCTGCAGCAGGAGCCAAGGGGCATAGGGTGCTCTGGAATGTTATGGAAAGAGTCCTGGGGCAGTGCTGTAGAACACAGCAGGATGACTGAAGCAGCCTGTCAGGACAGTCTCAGAGACACTTGGGGAAGAACAAGAGAAACATCCCCACTGGCAGGCCCTGGCAAATCCTACAATCCCATCGTACCAATGTAATAAAAATACTCTAGCAGATAAAAGTCTAAAACTTCCAGGACAAAAACAGTGCTAATGTTAATTGAATGTTGAACAATTGGAAACTCAGAGTGAAAGCAGCCAAATGCCTGTTGCATCTGTTGCGCAGGTGTTTATTGAAAGAAAGAATTACTTCACGCCGAGTGGAGCAATGCTGAGCCATGACTCCTTCCCTTTGCCAGAATCTAAAGCAGTCATCTGTTACGGACCAGAAGAAAAACTCAACAGTAGAACATGGAGATTGTGATTCAGGTGCTTCAGGAGATAACTGCTACTCTGATGCTTGTCTATTTGCTTTATAAAAATGCATGATTTCATTTCAGATATCACTAAAAACACTGATAGGGGCCCAGCCACAACAGCTAAGCCTAAAAGAGCACTAAAGTATTTACATAAAAATGAGACAGAGGAGCAGGCATTGGATGCAGCAGCTAAGATACTGCTAGGGATGCCTATAACCCACACTGGAGTGCTTGGGTTTGAGTTCTGACTCTGCTTTGATCCAGCTTCCTGCTAATGTGCTCCCTGGGAGGCAGGTGCTGCCTCATGTACGTAGGTCCCTGCCACCCACATGGGCGTCCCAGATGGAATTCCAGGCTCCTAGCTTCAGTTTAGGAAGACCAAGAGTCCCATACAACTGCTGTTGATACAGAATATGGTAAACTTTGATATTGTCGAGATCTATGAGCTAAGACATATATGTCAAGGCTGGAGAGGGTATTTGATGGAGTGAACCCCAGCAAATAGAAGACATCCTCTTTGTCTGTCTGTCTCTCTCTCTCTCTCTAACACAATTTTAAGAAAAGGATGAGCCTTAGCATCACAAGACAGCACAGACCTTTAGTAACTGCCACTTGAAACTCACCAGCCACTTCCACCAAGGCAGATGCTTCCTCGCCTTCTCTTGTAAAAAGTGGAAATATTCCCCCCTCCTAGTAAGAGCAGAAACAGCCCACAAAGTCCATGCCACACTAGCCACCAGTTGTGTGAATGGAAAAGATCCCACAGGTGCTGCAAACCACTTTATAAGTTTGTGTTACTTTAGGTCTTAAATGCACTCCACATTAAAAAAAAAAAAAGTCAAAATCAAGGAAGCTTTTGAAGATGTTATGAAAATGAAGCCCAGTCTTCTCTGTGCTCAGCGCAGATTTGTAGAGGAGCAAAGGGGAGAGCAGCTGCCTCAGGCCAGGGTCCCCAGTGGAAGGGCAGCAGCCCCGGTGCTGGAGGACATCTGCGCTATGTGGAGGCATCTTGGGTTATCACTGGGGGTGGGGTGGGTGGTATATTGGTAGAAGCAAGATGCTGCCAATCATCCTGAAACTCACAGCAGGGACCCAGCCAGCACAGAGCATCAGGATGCCAGAGGCCCAGGGAAAAGCTTGCCATGGACTAGCTGCTGTCAGCTCAAAATCACCAGTTATTTTCTATAAATAAATAACTTGACTTAAATGTCAAACGTTAAATTAATACCTTTTAACTTAATTTTTGCCATCTCCAATTTACCGTTTCAACATAGACCAAGAATCCCATACAACTGCCGTTGATACAGAATATGGTAAACTTTGATATTGTTGAGATCTATGAGCTAAGACATATATGCGTCACTAAATGTCCAAAAGCTCCCCTTCACTTAATTTTCTGAATGAAGTACAAGTGTTCAGTTGTAATAGGAAGTGGAGGTTTATGTTTAGGCACTTGGTGAATAACAATTCTGAGTTCCAAGGCCTATCCCTACGCTATTAAAATCCATGTCAAAGAAATTTGCAAGTTACTATATATTCTGAGTTATCAGAATTTGTTTCTCTAACAAAAAAAATATCCTAGAATGGTAAATCCCCAAAATGCCAAGCAGCCACAATGTTTGCCTGGTGAGAATGAATCAACTGAGTTTTGTGAAGTTTGGAGCTTGCACACTCGTATAAACTTTAAAAAGAGTGTCTCCTCTGCTGGTGTCAATCATTGTTGAGGGTCCCAGCTGCGCACCGGGTGACAGACAAAGCAGTCAGGGCCCAGAGCCGCGGTGACAAAGGTGCAACAGGATCCTGGCTCACTGATTGTTGATCCAGGAGCCCCGCCTCACCCAGCCTGCTTCACAGGAACACTGAGCGGATCCCCTGAGCTCCCAGAGCACTTTGAAAGGTGTGGGGTGAGATATGCAAGGCATTACAAGAAGTGAGAGAGTTGCCTACCAGGACGCGTCCTCACTGCCTGTGTGCCCCACTTGTACTCCGTGGTCCACTGCCCCAAAGCCCCAGACCGCCCTTCCCCAGGGAGTTTGCAGACCACTCACGTGCCTCCCTCTCTTCCTTGTGGTGGAGCCCGCAGCTGCCAGAGTGTCCTTCCTCCCCACAGCAGGCGTCCACAGAACGACCGGAGACAACCGTGGGACAGCCAGCTAGGGGTGGAGGCGGCTCCTGGCTCCCCAGGGCTTTGGGTAAAGGGAGGATCGATGCTGCCTCATGCAAACTGACGGCAGAGCCAAATCCCCCAGGCAGGCTCTGAAAATGAGAGTCCAATCGGAACAGCAGTCGCCTCCCGCCAGTGCAGTATGTCAAAAGTGAAACTCAGAGGAGACGTGGACTTTGATTTCAGCCGTGGGTCCTTCAGACCTGCAGAGAACACTGCGATGTTGCAATTTTCCTCACCCTCCCTGGAACATCAGGGCTCTCTGGCTGTTCTCCATCTGACACCCACCCGTGCCACAGCTAGTAAGGTCCTCACCCACACCGGGAGCCCCGGCAGCACCCAGCGTGGGTGTATGTCTTCACCCTTCCCTTCATTTCCACACATCCGATTCCCCGCCTAGTGCCAAGTTTCCACCAGAATGTGGCACTGTTCGGGCTGCAGCGCTGGAAGTACACTGAACTAAGTATCCCATGTGTCTTACAGGAAGTAGAGCCCAGAGACTGAGTTACCTTCTCCTGGGCCAGAGTCCCAGGCTGCGGACCCCTGAGGGCTGGTTTACTGCTCTTTTTCCTTTGGTTCTTTATCTCCCATTGCTAAGTAATAAAGGATTTAACCACTCTAAAATCCTTACCAAAGACCTTCAATAAGCTTTTTAATATAAAGCTAGGGCACGAAGAGCGTGATGACAGATGTCACAGGGACATTTTTTTTTACATGCTATTTCAGCCAGGTGTTCTGCCACATGCCCTTTGAGTCTGCTCTGCTCTGTAGGGTGTCTGAAGATATGCTGTCATGATTTCCAGAGTTCTCTAGAATAAGGTTCAACTTAATTTCAGATTTCCATTGTGTAATAATATAATCATATGCACCATTACAAGGTTATAAGGTTTGAATTTATTTTGTCTAGAAGTTTCTTGCTCTCCTCTCTTATGATCCAACAGGGAGACCCTATTTAGGCCCCCCATTTGAGGTCACTGGTTTTTTTTATAAATTAATTTATTTATTTGACAGGCAGAGTTACAGAGAGGCAGAGGCAGAGAGAGAGGGGAGAGAGAGGTCTTCCATCCTCTGGTTCACTCCCCAAATGGCCACAAAGGCCAGAGCTGGGCCAATCAGGAGCCAGGAGCTTCTTCCAGGTCTCCCATGTGGGCATAGAGGCCCAAGCACTGGCACCATCTTCTACTGCTTTCCCAGGCCACAGCAGAGAGCTGGATCAGAAATGGAGCAGCCAAGGCTCGAACTGGCTCCCGCACAGGATGCCGGCACTGCGGACAGCTGCTTTACAGGCTACGCCACAGCACCGGGCCCTAGGTCTTACCGTCGGACCGCCAGCTTCCTCCTCAGTCTAAGGGCCTCCTCACTGTGGAGGGGGAGGGCGTTGAAAAGGAAAGAAAAATCATTAAACACTGATGAGGGGACGAGTGTCTCTTGACCCCGATTCTCTCAGTTACAATACAGGGGTCCCCCCACCTGGTTCCGCAGACCACTCCCTCCCCACCCCCAGTGACACGGAAGACTCGCCACAAAGGGAACGCTGTCCATGGCAAGAAGATGTGAACCCTGGAAGCCCCGAGTGTCTCCCGGGAGGCTACAGCAAGAGCGCGCTCTGCGGAGACAGCAGGCAGTGCCATCAAGGCGGGGAGACGGCGCCGGCCAGGGAGCACCGCCAGAGGGCGACGTCCCAGGACAGGTCATGCTGGAAATAAGGGGCGGCCTCCGGCGCCTGCCCCGCCCACCTCCTGCCTCAGAACCTGAGAGCAACCCTGGGCAGGGGCGAGAGTGTCTTCCAGGGCTGGGAAAGCCGCTGAGGTGTTCCGGAAATCACCGGATTCATCGTTCTGCTGAAAAACACGATAGTGCTAGGCATAAAAATTTAGTGGTAGGAAGGTACAGGATTTTGTTTCCTCGCACTTGAATTTGTGGTGTGCAAATAGCGTACCGATCACATACCTGCTTTGCCACTTGGTGCTGGAATCTTCCAGAAGTCTTGTCATGTGTTGTGTGCGGTCCGCACGTGAGCACCACGGGCTGTTTACAGAACCTCTGTTTAAACTCGTGGACACCTTTTCTCCCGAACCATTCACAAGCACTTTCTTAGAGGTTTGCCCATTTTTAAATCAGAACCGTGTCCTACATAACGCTATGTGTTATGGGGGCGCTCTGTGTGTAGGTGCATATCGGTGTGGGAGAGAAAAACCAAGGCAGATCTCTGCCGTTCTGACGAGAGGAGTCCCCGTGCCGGAGCTCAGGCAGGACAATGCCCACAGCACAGCCCGAGTGACAGAAGAGCGGGGTCCCCAGAGGGGTCTGCGGGGAGAGCGGCGCGGAAGGAGCGTCCTGGCTCCACACGGCCACCAGAGGGCAGCAGAGCCACGCCGCGTCTCCCCCGTGGTGCAGGAGGACCCTGTCCCTGACAGCAGTTCCAGGAAGGTGCACCCTACGGGGTAGTGTGTTCCAGGCATAAATAGTGTGAGGTTGTGCTCAAGCCCTGTGGGGATAAAACAAGTTACTCCGTGTCCGGGAGCATGTTGTAGGCCCCCTGTGATATCCCGGGCCCGTCAAGACAGGTGATGGGCACGTGAACTGTCAGGAAGCAGCTCCCAAGGCTCCGAGGTGTGTCGGCCCCCTCCTCAGACCCTTCCCCGCCCAGTGTCACCCTGGCCTCCGCAGCAGGCGCACACCCAAAAAACCGGGCTTCTGCTCCTGAGGCCACGGCTTAGCGCTGCAGGAGGTCCCTTCAAACCAGGGGGCAGCCGGAATCGCCATCTGGGAGGAGCCCAACAGCCACAAAGTGCGATCCTGCGCATTGAGGACCCTGCAAAGGACGGGAAGATCGTGATTGCTAAAGTTCACGCCTCAAGGACCCGGAGACAGCAAATGCCCAGGGACTGACTCACCCACACCAACCTTAGCATTAGATTCCCACAGCAGGGGTTGGCCAGTAAGTGTGTGTGTGCGTGGGGGGGGGGGGGGAGGAGGGCATGTAGGAATACGGCTGGGGCAGTCAGCTCTGAGGACCTGTAGTCTGAGCTGAAGGGCACTGTTAGATTTCTCTCTCTTAGAATCCAAAAAGTGACAAACCAGTCCTCTAAGATTTTTAAATTTTGTTTTTAGGGGCTGGTGCTGTGGCATAGTAAGTAAAGCGGCTGCCTGTACACCACATCCCATACGACGCTGGTTCAAGTCTCAGCTGCTCCACTTCTGATGTGCTTGAGAAAGCAGCAGAAGATGGCCCAAGTCCTTGGGCCCCTGCACCCACATGGGAGACCTGGAAGAAGCTCCCGCTCCTGGCTTCGGCCTGGCCAGGCCTTTTGGGAAATGAACCCGCAGATGGAAGATCTCTCCCTCTCTTTGTGTGTCTCCCTCTTTCTTATAACACTGACTTTAACATTAAAAGATTTAATTTGCTTTTAATTTTAGTCTTATGAAAAAGTTACAAGAGGATAAAACAATAAGTATCATCCTTTCTGATCTGAAAATGATAGTCATGTACAGCTGATTCCATCGCGGATTCAGCCTATAAGAACAGCGTTCTTGGGAGGAGTCGTACACACTGGTGAGAATCACACCAGTCAACTGGAGAACCAGGCAGGTGTCTCCCCTGGGCCACACTCCCCCCAGCACCAGAAAATCTGCACTCACAGATATCCAGGCACGGCTCACGGGGTGAACAAAACAGTCCTCCTGATCGTGGCAGAAGTTTAAAGGAAGCGCCCGTCTGCCAAGCCTCCTGCGTTTGAGTCCTGCCTCTGGGTTCTGTGGCTTGGCCCTCCTGCTGCTAGAGAACGCCGTCTCTGAAGAGCGCATGCCCAAGCAGCCTGTTGCAGTTCCGAAACCCGCCAGTAGAGGGCATGTTTGTTCAAGGAAGCGCCGGGGCTTCAGGAGGGCTCAGGGACTTCAGAGGACTGAGAATTGCGTTAAGCGTCCCACAGCTTGATTTCTAATCCTTTCCTTTATTAGTGGCGTTTTTATGTTTTAGTGGTAATTGAAGGCAAGAGTAGGAAAACTGCTGCCGCTGAACCTGCTTCAGTCTCTGCGGGTCCCACACTCGGGGTTAGGACGGTGGGGGCAGGAGGGAGAGGAGGGGTGAGGGGTGTGTGGGGTGCACTGCTTCACTTCTTAAATATTTTGTTACCACATTTCCTTCCCGGACTCTTAGCGAAGAGAAATTGAAAATCGTAAATCCAGAGCTCAACATCTGCAGTTTTAAGAACAGAAAATGTAGGTAAAATAATTTGTAAGAATTCAGTGACTGTGATGGAATCACAAAAATCTTCATGGGATAAATCTTGAGACCCCGGCTATCTGACTGTGGTTGCTCTGGCAAGAAGCTGGAGCAAGCTTTATTGGAAACACATTTTCAGCCTCAGAGAAAAATGCATCCATGTTTATGAATTCCACACCCTTGCATTCCAACCAACCTTGGGAAAAAAAAACACATCTTCACTGGAAATTTATAGACTCATATTTCTTTAAACAATATTATTTTTAGGATTAATGTGAGCCAAGCAGATTTCACACAATTTCAGACTCCGTTCAGCAAAAAATGAACACTGCAGCCTGGCAAGTGTCCTTGCCCATGTGTGAAATCCTGAGAAAGCAATCCCTGGGGTGTGTGAATTTAGCAATGGCAAAATACAAAAAAAAAAAAAGGTAATTCTGTGTACCACCACCAGCATATCACACATAACTCACAATGGAAGTCTGTTGTTAGAATAGTAATAAAACAAAACCCCTCAGGATGAGCTGAGCTGAAATAGATGCATTCTCTGAGTGAAGAGGAAGAACTAATGAAGTCCCAGGTACAGAGGGTCTTCAAAGGACGGGGGAGAGAAGAGCCCTGGAGATCCGCAGGTGTGAACCTGATGTCACAGAGCAGCGGTCGGCAGGAGCCCTCTCTGCTGCAGCTGAGCCCCGGAGCCTGAGCTGCTAACCTTCCTCTCTGGAGGAAACTCCCAGTCTCCATTTCAGAATGGCAGTGCTCAACCTGGCCGTTGTGTTCCAATTACCATTGGAACAATATATAATACTTAATGCCTATTTACAGGAAATTAATACAGAGGGAGATGAGGGTTTTAGGATTTCGTGGATTGGGAGCCGTTTGCCCTTTAATTAAAGAGTCCATCGTCCTCCAGAGGGAAACGCACACTCTTCGTATCGAGTAACTCCTGACGTAGCCATAGCCGGAGCTTCCCTTTC